TTAGCATTTATTTAACTTCAAAATATACTGTATTAGACATTATTATTTTTATTGATTTTTAGCTGACTCTGATTGGCTGAAACAACATCATGTGACCACCTGTAAAAGTAGTTATAAACCTGAGTGGTTTGCAGGTGTTCAAAAAAGTTGGTAGAACAAGTGTTATTGACCTGCTATAAATAGATTCTGGAACAGATGTTCAAAAAAGTTGGTGGAAAAAGTGTTATTGACCTGCTATAAATACATTCTGGAATTTTTGTAAAAAAGTTGATAGAAAAAGTGTTATTGACCTGCTATAAATAGATTCTGGAAAAAAAATGGGAAAAAAATGGAAAACTATATTTTTTTACATTTTTTTCTTCAATTTTGAAAAAATCAATTAAAATAATAAAACTATTGTAGCATGGTGATTTCGGTCGATACATGGTTTTATCGACCTAGGTTAGCAATATTGACCTCGGACTGCGTCCTCGGTCAATATTGCTAACCTAAGTTGATAAAACCATGTATCGACCTCATCACCATGCTATAATTGTATATTATACCAAACAATAGCACACACACACATATATATATATATATATATATATATAGTCAATAATATATAAGATATTTAGGGTCCTACTTATAACTACAGTACGTTAAATTAGAACTTATATATTTATAACCATATTGTATTAAATATTAAATATCATACTTTTAGATACAATGTATTAACCAGCTATAACATTATACTAACATATATAACTACAATACATTACATTCTACACCTATCACTATAAACCTGTAAATACCTTTTACAACAAAGTAGGGCTGTAACGATACGCATACATCACGATACGATACATATCGCGGTACGATGCATACGATACGTATCACGATACAAAGTTCTGCTTAAAATGTCAACTTCATAATGATTGAGTGCAGTATTTTATTGTTTTTTTTTATATAGATTTCAAAAGTAAATAATATCGAAACATATTTTTGTATAATTTCTAGTACTTTTGGGTATGACTGCACAGTGGGTCACAGCTTAACTGATGGATTCAATAAATATAAGTAACCCTTCATAGAAGTTAGTGTATCGCGATACAGGCAAACAAAACAATTTGATATTATACACAAGAAAGTATTGTGATTCAGTTAAATACATGTACATACAATAAAGGTACCCAAGGTTTAAGTGACAAGTGTTGCTAATTGTTAGATCAATTACCCGTGGTCGGTTTATTCACACCTGATCACAGTTTGGTCATAGTCTGTTTCAAAATGATGTAGATTGTTGTGTACTACATATTATTATAAAGAACTTATGTCTACTTTTATTAGAGAAATATTTTATTTATGTTCTTTGTAATGAAGTGACACGTGGTAGTAGATGAAATATTTATTTATTTTTAAACTAAAAAGGATACCTTTAGTTTACATGAAAATTACAACGATTTTACAGTTATTATAACAGGTACAGTACTAGCCGCCTGCATGTTATTACAATCTTAAATTATTGTTGATCAAGTAAAGCCTCATTAACTCATCTGAATATCAAAGATTGTTTAAAATGTCTATACATTTCAAATGATATAATAACAGTTGACTGAATGTTGTTTTTTTCCCTTTATTTTTAGCTCATCTGGCCCGAAGGGCCGTGTGAGTTTATGCCGTACTGCGTCGTCCGGCATCCGTCCGTCACCTTTTTCTTTCAAACGACTTCTTCTGGAGGACCTAGGGTTATGATATTTGGCCAGTAGGTACCACGGATGGAGTGCTATTAGGTTTCCTCATTAAAATAACCTTGCCTATTTTTAAGGTCACATGGCTCAAATATGTTAAAAACTTCAAACAACAATATCCTAAGAACAATTTGGACTAGAGTTATGATACTTAGGTATGTTATGAAGACCAGCAGTACGAATCTTTTTTCTTAATCACAGTAACGAGGTCAAAGGTTAACTTTAAGTGTTAGTCGGGGGTCAAATGTCAACATGGGCTAAACGCTTTAACAATCTTCTTCTCAAGTTCCATAAGGCCCAGGGTCATGATATTTGGCCAGTAGGTACATGGGATGGAGTGCTAAAAAGTTTTCTCGTTAAAATGACCTTGACCTAGTTTCAAGGTCACAGGGCTCAAATATGTTAAAAACTTCAAACAACAATATGCTAAGAACCATTTGGACTAGAGTCATGATACTTGGGTATATCATGTAGACCAGCAGTGCAATTTTTTTTCTTTATTACAGAAATGAGGTCAAATGTCAACTTTAAGTGCTAGTCGGGGGTCAAATGTCAACATGGGTTAAGCTTAAAATTTTCACTTTTCATAATATTACAAATGTCAATATTGTCAAATTAACAGAAAGCGAAATTCATCTTTCACATATGTGGAGGTACATTCCTTACAATGTCTTTGTTCTGAAGGAACATTTCTTTTTCTTCCAATCTCAATGAGTGCAACGAAGCATTTAATCTACTGAGACATACATGTATATTCTGTACTTTACAGGAATATACTCCTTGTAAGATAAAACTGAAGAGAACAATTCGTACCATATGCATATTATACCGTAATAAAGTTTTGGTTAATAGCACCGTAGGCATATGGTATAGACAGAATAGTAACATGTTAATAACAAGAGGCCCATGGACCTAAACAGTCATCTGACTACAAAGACTGAGCAGGGAGAATGGTAACATTTCAACTTAAATGAAATATTCTAAGAATTTGTTTTCCATGATGGTTGTTTTGGCCAGAGGTTGGTAACTATTTTTCAGTAAAGCTATCGGAAAGTATTTTAACTTAAATCTGAATAGATTTCTCCTTTTAAGGCTCCGTCCCGCTGTCAATGGTGGTTAAACCTGCCTCATTTATATAAGAAAGGATTGTTCCTAAATGATGTTTCATACTGAAATTGTTGTAATCTACTTTTGGCATTAACGAGTAGTGTTTAAAAGCAGGATTTTAGGAAATTTCCTTTCTTGCGGCGCCGCCCTCTCTATCCCCCAGGGTTCGCCTCATTTATTCAAGAAACGATTGTCCTCCTTCCCCCCTAATGATATTTCAGACCATATTTGGTTGCAATATCCATTTAAGCATTAATTAAGGAGGAATAGCATTTTAAAGCAAATTTATAGCTAAGTTCCACTTTCGAGGCCCCAAAACATCCCCACCAATTTTCAGCTCAATGGCACCAGTTATGTACAGTGCTAGTGTTTTTACTTATTTTAAGGTGGGAAAATGGCTCATAAGCCAGATTTGGCTGGATGTCGATATCTGATTGATTTATATTTTGAAACCGCTTTTATTTTTTGTAAAATCTGTTGTTTTAATGTATATCGATATGTGACACTTACTTATAAATTGTATTGTATGTAATACTATGTTAAGTTAAGACATTTAATCTGAAATTCCCTATTATTATGATGACACCCAATCTCACCTAGCATACACCCAACATCTTACATGTATATAGGAAAATACCAAATGTATGCTAGGTGAGACGACCCCCCGTGGTCAGTGTCCACAAGGTAAAGGCTATTACCACGGACTTAGATAACAATAATCTAATCCCGTGCTAGTTCACTAATCCTGCTGCGTCATGTGATGGACAATAGTAATGAGTTATGAAAGTAAGTTTACAGAGAGTACGTACTTAGGGATAAAAAAAACCTTCACACATGAGTCTTATCTCAAATGTCACAAAGGATATATAGTAAATACAATTAAGGATAATGCCACATGTATATAGCCGAATTCTGTGTAAATGTCATATAAACATGTTTTGCATTAAGTCGCACTTGAGTTGTTAATTATGAACAATTCGAAATATAAATTAAATAATAGATGGTAAGATTAAAGTTTTTCATGAATAAGCACTAATTTATTACAACGAAAATTTCTGTTCGTTGTAATTTGTAGTTTGAAAGTAGAATTTCAAGATGTTGAATTGTAGTCCAAATATAAAATTTATTAAACAACTGTTCTAGGTCGGTGGGTGATTTCTGGAGTATCCTAAAATCTACCCGTACGGTCCGAGTCCTAGCTCCAAACTGCTTACAAAACATGTAGAACAGTGATACATTGACAATTAACACAATAAAGTTAATTTGATTGACAGATGTCACTTATCTCTCTATTCTGACTGGTGAGTACCCGAACAGGTAAGGCATTTAACCTGTTCTTTGTCCGAGACTTAAGTGTCGTACTTGGTAAGACCAGTTCATCTCATTACGTAACATATGAAAGGTATACTGTATAAGATGGACACCAGTTAATCTGACGACAATGAAAAAAAAGTTACATATAACAACATCAAAAGTAACATATTTACACATAGAGGTTTTCTTAAATGGTACAAATGTAATTAAATAGCTTCTAGGTATGAAATTGTTACTGGACGAAATTATCCAAAATAATGAATGAGATGAAATGTTAAATTAATGTTCATAAATAGCACCATTATCATAAAATGCTTTATGATATATCGTTGCAGCCCTACTACAGAGTATTTGGGATAATTGATTCCAATGTTTCCTTATTTAATCGTAACTTGAAACTGAACTCTCACATTTTGTAAATAAATTACCCCATAAAACTGGTAATTTTTATTTGTTTCTTACTATGAATCATATCACTATAAAATCACACGAATTAAAATAAGTCTTTGTTTACATGATGGGGAAATAGCAACCGAAAATAGTATACACATTTTCCTTTAATACAGAAATTCACACGTTTCTCCTGTGGCCCACAAAAGGTATACTGAAGGATGCACGGAGCTGTATTATGTATCTACCGACGCGGGTCATTGGATACCGGCAGGTGGCGCACTTTGTTACTGCACAGCAACTGCATCATTATCATCAACTTCTCGCAATAAAATAAAACAAACAAGCACAAATTCTTTTATTTATCACTTATATGTTTAAACTTTCAATTTTTTTTTAAATTATTCACCAGATTTGGGTCTATCGTATTTAGTGTAGTCTCGCTTGAAATGAGTATTCGCGGATAGCCCTGCAACGCGGATGTTGAAGCGACACCGCCCATTTCCTCTACGAGCTGAGTCTATTTAAAGCTGCATCCTCGATGCCGCTGAATGTCGCTTTCCAATCTCTCGGTTGAGGATGCTAGTCTCTCTTATTGTCCTCAAACCTCGTATCCTGTGATTGTGTCAATCTAAACCATCTCACTTAAAGATACGGTATTTTGTGGGTAATTTTGTACACAACGTGATTTTCATAATTTCTGAGGCGAGCATGCACTGGATTAATGTATTAAAAAGCCCGTGCGTAGAGTGACGTCATCCAGTAACCCCCGTAACAGTGGAGAATAGAATAGCAATAACTATCGAGCTATCGATTGTGAAGCTGAATATTTAAGTATCCTTTGTTAGACGCGACGTCGCTCCTGCCTTCATGTTACCGAGAATATAATGTAATATGTTGACTGAAAAACACCTATGAATCTTTCCTGTGGAGATATGCGTTTGAAATAATACATCCCTATCTTCAATGTCAGTTGATACCGGCAGAGGAAGGAAAAGGAACCGCCTCGATGTAACTGAAGGCTGACATACGGGACTGACGAGATCTTCACTACTGTGCTACCGTGTCTCTCGCTGTCTTCTCGAAACCGGCATCGGGAATTCGCTTTTTATGCAGAAAGATTCTACCAAGACGAGAGTGGGATCGTTTATAGGAAGTGTGTATCGTTCGCAGTTTAGCCACGGATTGTGTTGTGGTTGTAGGTTGGATCTCTGGTGAAGATTGGGGTACACACGACATCCTACGGAGGTGGTGGGATACCAGCACATAGTAGCGGCAGTCTGTTGGATCACAACAAACTCGGTCTTATCAAACATGGGGTGTACTATGAGTGCAGAGGATAGGGCCGCTGCCGAACGGAGTAGAGACATAGAAAAAAAGCTCAAAGAGGATGGGATACAAGCAGCTAAAGATATAAAATTACTACTATTAGGTAAGGCATTTTTGCATTGCTATATTGATCTGTAACACATTCTGCCTGCGATACAATGATGTAGGAAAAACTCAACCGCTGACATTTTTAGAAACTGATTTTATGCATGCAACGGCCGCCATATTGAATCGTTTGGAAACTGAATAATTAAAGAAATGTTGTACTAAGATGAGGGATTAGATGGTAGAGGTAGCCGGGTATTGTTGTCGGCTTTGAGGTGATGTTGCTTAGGCGTGTCAGACATTGCTGTCGGGTGCGGCTAGCCCGCTCAGACAGGTGTGTTGAAAGCTTCTATGTTAATTAGGCAAAATTAGCGGTGCCGGGTGACAGCGTTACAGAATGAATTCCTGTTGAGCTATTCAGCCAGGGAGGTGGCCCCTTGTTCCATTATGGGACAAATGAGAACAGAAAACCGTGTATTTAATGAGGGCTAAGGTTGTAAATCTATTGGGTGTTTTGAATAATGAGGATGGATGTATAAGCATCGAAGTGATGTCTACTACAGACTGGTAGTGGGGTTACATTAATTTATGCGGATCAATCGTTTATAATGTCCTTGTCGTTGATGTTCGGCCTTATGTAAATACTGTTGTGGCTGGTAGATTTAATTATGTATTATCAGAAAATTAAAAACTTAATCTTTATATTGTAGGAGCTGGTGAATCAGGAAAAAGTACTATAGTGAAGCAAATGAAGTAAGTTCATCTATACAGACCTATATACAAAATTTAATAATACAGTTGTGAGAATTATAACCAAGATATAATACGATTGTTTGTGGTTGTAAAATACATGTTAAAAATTCAGGACGAATTGAATTATGCATCTACCCAAATTGACCATAATACAACGTTGCCGCTGAATGAGTAACCCTGGTGTTGGTATATATCTAACAACCCTCCTCCCCACACTCCTGGCTCGAACACACGCAAACACTTCACATCCCTCCGACCTCATGTACATAATCTTTTCTACACATGTAAACATCGTCCAATACTCTAGACTCACAAACAAACCGGATTAACCACAGACAACAGACACTTGTAATGTCCTGTTTTCTGTTTCACAAACAAACCGGATTACCACAGACAACGTACGCTTGTAATGTCCTATTTTCTGTTTCACAAATAACATTGTTCATTCAACCGTGTCGGTTACAGCAGGAATACAACAATGAAACTATTCGCTAAAATTCTGTAAAATTTGAAATCCTATATGTATATGGCGTCCCGAGCTATGTATATTGCGTCTCCCTGTTGTTGAGGAAGCTAAATCTGATGCCTATCTGGCGGCGCCCCCAGTTAAACAGCCTGCTAAATAGCTTTCACATATGTGTCCGACTACATTTATCACATTTTTATTGGTTTCGCTTGATTTCAACCACAAATAATAACAACAGATGATCTAACTACAGATTGAGTCTGTGTACACTGCCATGCCCGCCGCCATATTGACAGAATGGGGATCGTCAGCTATTTTCATAAATTATAACGGTTTTGCGGCAGAACGTTAAGAAATTCAACATGGAGGCCAATGGTATTTATAGTATGTCTGTTCTGAACAAAACTGAAACGGAGGTAATACAATATGGAATAACTGTTTAGTATGAGGAAAGTGAAGAGATGAAGAAGCTGGCTCTGGACAGAAGCAGACGACATTTCTGAAGCACCATTCAATTTTCTGTCGATCGATCAGCTACACTGTGGAGAGGGGATCGTTGAACTAGTAACCCTGCTTCAGCTTGTCTCCGCCGTCATATATGTGTACATCTGTTTGTGTGTGTAAGTGTGCATGTACGTGCCCAAATTGTTAGATTTTATCATCCCGATTTACTATAAAATGTCGCACGGTAGCTAGACGCGCTTGCGCAACACACCTGTGACATAATCTCACACAGGGGAATATTTATCGTCGAAGTCGTGACATAAACGGTATTTGGAGGAAACGAGCGTTAAACAAGTATATTTAAATTCAATACTTTATACAATCATGTTAGTATGTAATCATCGAAACCGCCGACGGTTTTGTTAGTTCCGGATTGGCCATTCCGTCATTGATCTGACTACCTATTTGTATACATCGATCGTCAGACATCGATTCTGTACACAACCGTAGAGTATTGATCAGGAACGTTTACTGTGAGAGATAGCCAGGACCCCCAACAATGCAAAACCATGCTAAGGCTAGCTCCTACTTTCCCATGTTGGTAAGGGATGAAGCGAGACTAGCGTGCTCTCGTCCGATCTATTCCGATTAATTATCATAATTATAGGTATTAGTCATTAGTGGAAGGGACTTTGATTTACACCCTTCATTTACATAGCCCCACACCCCAACCCCATCAGGAGCTTCGATATCAATGTAATTGACATACTGATAACATTCCCCGCTATGAGTTAAGGTAACAGCCATAATCTCCATTAGAAACATTTATAACACCTTTCATTGACAAAGTCTCGTCATCAGGAGCTTTGATACGTACTATCCTTCAATGATATTTTCAGTAGATTTTAAAACATCCTTCTTTATTTTCTTTTTCCTTTTAAAGTTTTGTGTTGTGTCACACGAAGACGTGTCCATAGGCGATATGGCATGTCCACTTATCATTGACATAATGATATCACCGGCTAGTGACCTGATTTCATTGACATAATGATATCACCGGCTAGTGACGTGATATCAATGACATAATGATATCACCGGCTAGTGACGTGATATCATTGACATAATGATATCACCGGTTAGTGACGTGATATCATTGACATAATGATAACACCATTCATTGACATAATGATAACACCATTTATTGACATAATGATAACACCATTTATTGATATAATGATAACACCATTTATTGATATAATGATAGCACCATTTATTGACATAATGATAACACCGTTCATTGACATAATGATTACAAAGATCATTGACATAATGATAACAAAGATCATTGACATTATGATTACAAAGATCATTGACATAATGATAACAAATATCATTGACATAATGATTACAAAGATCATTGACATAATGATAACAAAGATCATTGACATACTGATAACACCGATAATTTACATAATGATAACACCGATCATTGACATAATGATTACAAAGATCATTGACATAATGATAACAAATATCATTGACATAATGATAACAAAATCATTGACATAATGATAACAAAGATCATTGACATAATGATTACAAAGATCATTGACATAATGATAACAAAGATCATTGACATAATGATAACAAAGATCATTGACATAATGATAACAAAGATCATTGACATAATGATAACAAAGATCATTGACATAATGATAACAAAGATCATTGACATAATGATAACAAAGATCATTGACATAATGATAACAAAGATCATTGACATAATGATAACAAAGATCATTGACATAATGATAACAAAGATCATTGACATAATGATAACAAAGATCATTGACATAATGATAACAAAGATCATTGACATAATGATAACAAAGATCATTGACATAATGATAACAAAGATCATTGACATAATGATAACAAAGATCATTGACATAATGATAACAAAGATCATTGACATAATGATAACAAAGATCATTGACATAATGATAACAACGATATTTTTACATAATGATAACACCGATAATTTACATAATGATAACACCGATCATTGACATAATGATATTGCCGTTTGTTGATGTAATGATAACATCGTTCATGGACGTAATTACACGGGTTGTGTTATTTTCTGTAATTTTTGTTCACACCTTGTTGCGGGTTATGTTATTTTCTGTGATTTCTGTTCCCATTTTGTTGCGGGTTATGTTATTTTCTGTTATTTCTGTTCACACTTTGTTGTGGGTTGTGTTATTTTCTGTGGTTTCTGTTCACGGAATATGGGTGAGATCTTCGGTAAATCAAGGCACTGTTCACATTTTGTTGCGGGTTATGTTATTTTCTGTGATATCTGTTCCCACTTTGTTGCAGGTTGTGTTAATTTCTGTGATTTCTGTTCACATTTTGTTGCGGGTGGTGTTATTTTCTGTGGTTTCTGTTCACACTTTGTTGCGGGTTGTGTTATTTTCTCTAATTTTTGTTCACACTTTGTTGCGGGTTATGTTATTTTCTGTGATTTCTGTTCACACTTTGTTGTGGGTTGTGTTATTTTCTGTGATTTCTTTTCGCACTTTGTTGTGGGTTTTGTTATTTTCTGTGATTTCTGTTCACACCTTGTTGCGGGTTATGTTATTTTCTGTGATTTCTGTTCACACTTTGTTGTGGGTTGTGTTATTTTCTGTGATTTCTTTTCGCACTTTGTTGTGGGTTTTGTTATTTTCTGTGATTTCTGTTCACACTTTGTTGCGGGTTGTGTTATTTTCTGTGATTTCTGTTCACACTTTGTTGTGGGTTGTGTTATTTTCTGTGATTTCTGTTCACACTTTGTTGCGGGTTGTGTTATTTTCTGTGATTTCTGTTCACACTTTGTTGCGGGTTGTGTTATTTTCTGTGATTTCTGTTCACACTTTGTTGCGGGTTGTGTTATTTTCTGTGATTTCTGTTCACATTTTGATGCGGGTTGTGTTATTTTCTGTGATTTCTGTTCACATTTTGATGCGGGTTGTGTTATTTTCTGTGATTTCTGTTCACATTTTGATGCGGGTTGTGTTATTTTCTGTGATTTCTGTTCACATTTTGATGCGGGTTGTGTTATTTTCTGTGATTTCTGTTCACATTTTGATGCGGGTTGTGTTATTTTCTGTGATTTCTGTTCACATTTTGATGCGGGTTGTGTTATTTTCTGTGATTTCTGTTCACATTTTGATGCGGGTTGTGTTATTTTCTGTGATTTCTGTTCACATTTTGATGCGGGTTGTGTTATTTTCTGTGATTTCTGTTCACATTTTGATGCGGGTTGTGTTATTTTCTGTGATTTCTGTTCACATTTTGATGCGGGTTGTGTTATTTTCTGTGATTTCTGTTCACATTTTGTTGTGGGTTATGTTATTTTCTGTGATTTCTGTTCACACTTTGTTGTGGGTTGTGTTATTTTCTGTGATATCTGTTCACACTTTGTTGCAGGTTGTGTTAATTTCTGTGATTTCTGTTCACACTTTGTTGTGGGTTGTGTTATTTTCTGTGATTTCTGTTCACACTTTATTGCGGGTTATCTTATTTTCTGTTATTTCTGTTCACACTTTTTTGTGGTTTATGTTATTTTCTGTGATATTTGTTCACACTTTGTTGCGTGTTGTGTTATTTTCTGTGATTTCTGTTCACACCTTGTTGCGGGTTGTGTTATTTTCTGTTATTTCTGTTCACACTTTGTTGCGGGTTATGTTATTTTCTGTGATTCATGTAGACATTTTGTTGCCGGTTGTGTTATTTTTCTCTGGTTTATGTTGACGCTTTGTTACGAGTTATATTGTTTTCTGTTTACATTTTGTTGTGATTTATATGGGCACTTTGATGATTTATTTTGTTGAAACAGTTGATATCGTTTGTCTAGATACTTTGATGTAGACAATATGGTTTAGCGTCCCGAACAATACCTTATACATCAGGAACATCTTACAACGTGGTCGCTGAGGGGAACAAGTGCGTTACAGGAAGATTGGAACACAATTATCTATAAATAGGAAACGATATTCAAAACGTTTTATTCTGCAATGTGTTGAATTGAAACGGGGAAATATAT